AAGCGATTGATTTAAATGGCTAATATTTTTTGGGGACAGTAGTAATTTTTTGATAAAGAATAAAAGCTATAACGTTTCGTGTGAGCATTCAAAAACCGAGCTTATGTTCCAAAATTACTTTTTAATATTCTTGGAGCTATTGTGTTTCTTATTTCCTCTTCCAATTTTCAAGTTCTAAAGTTTCTTGAATTATAAAAAATGACACATCAGCTTAAAAGGATTAAAAACTTTTTTTTCGCAAAATTTATGCCAAAATATAGTTTTTGTTTTAATGAACCCAGCGATACCCACCGACTGAGAGGCGCGCCTGAAGTATAATATATTAGCGAAAAATTCAACAGACCGGTGAGCAAAAACCCTGACCATCAGGATTGGATAGAACCCGATTCCGAACGCCGTAAGTCGGGGATACAGTTGAAAAAGCTACAAAATTCTTCATCAGCTGCCATAAATAACTTGTGGAAAATTTGACGGAAATTGCTTAATTAATTAAAACTCTTAGTAAGTAAGGGCCGAATCGAACGTTTTGTGAACGCATCGGCTTACGTCGTCGTACGAAAAAACATTCCTTGATGGTATAAAATTATTGAGTTGATGCCATACGAAAGCAAGCGGATCGTAATTATTTGAAAATGTATGAGATTTCATGTTCATCTATTACATTATTCTGTCATAATTTTGAATCAAAAGCAAATGCTTATTAACTTGTAGAATAAAAGCAATTATGGCCGGCATTTTACTTTTTTGTTTATCTACCGATATGAGTGATCTCGATGAACGAATTGTAAGGAGACGTTTAAGGGAACTTGCAAGCTTTTTTTCGCCTGGAACTTTCTGCGTCAGTGTATACTTAAAATGTAACGTTGAGAAAAATTTCGATTTAGAGAAAAATTTATAATTGTTTCCTCCACGTTTTGATATTCTTAACTGGTGAGCCGAGCATTTGCTTTGATCGGTGTGCAGTTTGGCAAACGGTTTTTTGCTAAATTTTTTTGTGACTGCATAGATTCAGCGATGAACTGCTTTTGTTGCCGCTTTAATTTTATTGGTATTCGTTCTATTAATATTTTTTTATAATATTTTAAAATAAATTATATTACCTTTTTATTGCTTGCTTGTTTACGAACACAATTTTGTAATCGAATGACAGTTCGTACCGAAATACTCGTAAACGTATGGCTTAGCCGAATGCATCATACCGAATTACGGTAACGAGTATATGTTTACGTACACGGTGTGTCCCAAAAATAACCGAACTTTTGGGATATAAAATCAAATACACATTATATTATCTTTGAAAGTTATTATTTATACAAAATAGGTTCCATTTGACGCAACACAATGTTTGGAACGATCAACCAGCGCATGCAAAGATTTTTTTATGTCATTTGAAATGTTCTTCAGTACCTCGGTTACGGCTGCTTGAATGGCTGGAATATCATCATAAAATGCTCCCTTCATCTTGGTTTTCAGTTTTGGAAATAAAAAATAGCCACATGGTGATAGATCAGGCGAATGCGGAGGTTGGTCGATGAGAGAAATCCCTTTTTTTCATAAAAAAATCGAGCGATTTTTTGGTCGTCATTTAATTCATGTGGAACAAATCGCGCACAGACCTTTCTTTTCCCCAAATCTTCAGTTAAAATTCTCCAAATAGTGTTTTCACTCGTATTCAATTCCTCAGCCAACATTCTCGTAGTAAAATTTGCATCGATACCAATGATTTCACGGACTTTTTCCACCAGGTCAGCACGATTACTACTTTCTGGACGTCCTGCCCTAGGGTCATCATTTAAATCCTCACGACCATTTTTAAATCGTGTAAACCACGTATAAACTTGCGTACGACTCATACAATCATCACAATAAATTTTTTCCATTAATTTTTTTTCAAGTTTGACACAAAATTTTATATATGCACTTTGTTCCATTTTATTTTTGAACCATTAGCACACTTTTGGTTTTATTGAAATGGCTGTCACTATTTTTTTAAAAGAGGATGAATGTATCTTTTTAATGTTGCAAATTTTCAATAGATGGCGCTGTATGTTGTATGATTTAAATATAAAGTTCGGTTATTTTTAGGACACACCGTGTATGGCGTAATGCCAAATACTTAAATTTAGGTGAGGAGTTGTTCGTACATGGAACGCTCGATTCGACCCTTGGTTTTGGTACAGAAAAGCAAGTCAGAGGAATAGATGCCGGCGGAATGAGTATTAAATTCATTGAAAAAACAACGAAAAGGTTCGCTCAACTTAAAGTTTGCCCTGCATGAACACAATGAATGGGTCCTAAAGTGTCTAGATGAACTTAAAGGGATATTAAAGCTAAGCTTATAAACTAAGCATCCTTTTACGGCTATGGAGTATAGGCAGATTAATGTATGCTAAACGACTTTTTTAAGAATGGAGGTTCCTATTCGCACCGCTGCTTAAATTTTTTACCGCTAATAGTAGAAATTGCTCTCGTACAGACTCCAATTTGTCACTATATAATTGATAGTGCGGACTTCAGACAACCGAGCCATATTCCGAAATGGCGCTAAAAAGCGAAGTAAAGAGTGATTTGATAGTGTGTGGGTCATTGCACTCCTTAGCTCAACGTTCAACGCCTTTTGCCTTATTAGCACAGGCATTTATATAGCTTCTAATATCTAGTTTAGGGCCCATTATCTGACCTAAATTAACGAATATAGGTAAAAGACTTGGAAAGGCATCCCGGAGAAACACTTACAGTCCAGAACACATCATCGAAGTAAATTATTTAGGTCAAGTTGCAAAGGTTCTCTCTATCTTCCATAGAACGAACTGATTTAAAGATCCCAACATCATCTTCGTGCATTGCATTTTTAAACATAGAAAAAATATACATTCCTGTGTCACAAAAATAAAAAAAAAAATAAAAATAAAAAACTTTCGATACCGTTACACATGGAAAACGTTTGTGAGAATCTTCACAAATATTCCAGCGCTGCTGTTTCGTCATTATTTATGCTTTTATGCTTCCTTCATTCCTTCGTCTTTGACCCTTTACACTTTATTTGGAATTTCTCGGTTATTTCTTTCACTCTTTCCTTTGTTCAATGTTGGTGTTGGTTGTCACTTGATTTGATTGTGGCGTCCGATTCTTCACTTCACCTTTTTCCACTTACCCATTTATTTATTTCTCGCAAATATTTTAATGAAAGTGAGATAAAAGCGGAAAACTGCTGAAATTCATTGCAAAGACGGAACGGAAAACAGAATCCTTGCGGCGTTTATGATACGCTACGGATTTGTCTGCACGCGGGGCATTAATTTCGTTGCGTTGGTTAGGGGACTTTAATTAGAAAAAAATATATATATACATATATACAATGTTTAGGTTAATGTTGTTTGTAGTGTTTCTTCTGCTCGTGGAATCTTGTTCAGTTTTGTTCTTGGTTTGCGCAGATTTTTGTTTTATTTCCTTTCGGTGGCATATGTACGCTTCACAGGCTTTTGGTTTTGTTGCGCATTTTGAGGTTATGTCATTTTGTATGTCTTGTATTGTATGTTATGTTCTGTACTTTATCCCTGCTGTGGGCGTAATCTTTATGATTGATGATTTTGTATTTATTGTTATTTCTATAGCTTCATTAATTTACCTTCTTTTTTATACTTGATTTCTTATTGATTTATTTCAACAAATGGACGTACTTAGATATTTAAGTGCAGCCTTTTATATCATACAGTTATCTACTTATATAAAGGGTGATCCTTTTTTCGACAGATCATGCTTTAGTCCTGTCCGGCTGTCATGTTATTTTTCTTCAGTATTGTTTGTCATTTCATCATGGAAAGACTGACTTGCCTGAAAAACGTTTACAAATCGTTTAAAATTATTACGAAAATTCAAGTTCTGCAAAGACTGTGTTTCGCGGGCTTCGCTCAACTTATGGCCAACATAATCCACCTTGAGATCCAACATTCACTTCGTGACCTTAAGTTAAAAACGTACAAAATACAGCTTGTGCAACAACTGAAGCCCCTCGATCTTCCCAAGCGACAGCGCTTCGATCTAAGGGTCTGAATAGTTCCAAGAATATCCGACGTTTTTGGCCCAAATTTTGTTCAGCGGTGAGGCCAATTTTTCGGCTCAATGGGTATGTAAGCAAGCAAAATTGCCATATTTAGGACGAAACGGAACCTAAAGTGACTCAAGTGCTGCCATTTCATCCAGTAAAAAAACGGTTTGGGGTTGTTTGTGGACCGATGAAATCAACTGTCTATATTTCTTCAAAAATGATGATAACCGTCAATGGCGACCATTATCACGCCATGATACCCGACTATTTGATGCCTGAAATCGACATTTGGTTTCAACAACAATGAGCAGATACTTTCATGCTTTGGGCCATCAAGGCTAGTTGATGTGGGGATATGTAAAGGCTGAAGTCTAATCGGACAAACCCGCTTCTATTCAGGCCGTGGAAGAAAACATCAAAAACGCTAGAAATGCTTGAAAGAGTCATTGAAAATTGGACGCAACGGATGGATCATCTGAGACGGAGCAGCTACCAACATTTGAAAGAAATAATTTTCAAAAAAAAGATACCGAAGATTGTTCTTTAGAATGATAATAAACATTTCCTGTTAAACTAGAATTTTATGTGTTTTTTTTTTCTTTAAAAAAGTAAGGAATTTCGACCAATGAAAACAGAGGTTGTAGAGCCCGATATGGCGCTTCAGAAACTGACCAACAGCCGTTATTCTTTGAGAAAATGCGGCTACTCACAAATTTAGAGACCAATGCTGAGTATATTGAGATTATGCCTGAGAAAACCAAATTACCAACAAATGACGTTGGACCACGACAAACAAGCTTCTAACTAAATATGGAAACACCCAAACACCCAAATTTTTTTCTTAAACCCTTGTCTCATTTATCAACCATCTAATCGCTAAACAAATACTTAAATTTATATGTATATATGCATATAAGACAAGGCCACAAGCTGTTGCATTAACATAAATTACCTTTTGTGTGCTCCGTCAATCCATCCACTGCTTTGAGCTGATAATGTGACAGCAAAACATTGCAATCCACAACACACTGCTTGCGCCACATCAAACCAATCCAATTCAATCTCTGCCAAAGCTCACTTTACAAATTTGAATGTGTCTTCTCACTCTCACAAGCAACTCCCCACACACCAATCCTTGCTGCCGTTTATCTTCAATACGCTGTTTCGCTCCCCCTCCCCCTCTGGCCTACCTGCGCTCTTGTACTTAGAGTATATTTCAGCAGCAACAGGATGAGTCATTGCACATTTCCTATGTCATTTCAGCAGGTGGTGTCGTAACAGCTGCTGGTTGAATGGTGTTGGCGTCTGTACCACCGGCGGATGCAATACCGCCACTTGCCACGGTAACAGCCGACGAAGAGGATGACGATACAGGTGATGTTGGTGAAAATGTGTTTGATGGCACTGCTGCTGTTGCTGTTGGTATTGTTGTAGCCGCAGGTGTTTGACTTGTAGCAATATTATCATCCGTCGCATCTGTTGTGCATGATGACTGCATAGCTGCTGACACAGTTGTGCCAGCGAAAGTGGTTGTACTCGAGCCACAAGCATTTGCTGCCGCGTCGCTGCCACTGGGCGAACTTAAGTTTGCTGCTGCTGTTGCTGTTGATGTTGCTGTTGCTGCTGATGAGGGTGGTGGCGGCGTATTTGGTGGTAGTGGTGAGTCGGTAACGCTAACGCGTGTTGCTGTCGCCGCTGTGTTGCGTGTTAAGAACCAACAGTCCATTGGTGTCGGCTTACCCTTCATCACGACTGGACCACGGTATTCGAGATTGAACGAATCGTCATGGTTAATCTCCTGACAGAGTAATCTGTAAATGGAGAAGTAGAAAGGAATGAATGAGGTATTGAATAGCATTAGATTGACGGCTACAAAAGTTGAGATTGAGCAAGGCAAACGCGTTGGATAGTAGATGAAAAGAATATCTGTGTGTATGTGTAGTGGTGTATGCGCCATTTTTGTAAAGAAAAAGGAAGAGAAGAGTTATATGATATATATATATATATATATATATATAAGTGGCGCTCTGTAACCGCTGAGCTCTTCCTCAAACTTATGGTGAGTATCTTGATTTATTTTCCAACAAATAGGGGAACCTACAGGTCATTCTAAGCCGTCTCCGAATGGCTGGTGGATACTTATGAGCAGCTTATTTCATGCCAAAAATACACCAGCAGTTGTAGCTATATGAAGAATGAAAAGTAAAAATTGCTTTCCATAATTTTGTTTGTCAGTCCGACAAGGTTTCGAAGTTATGACCTTCCGCAAGGCACTACACACTTCTAACCACTCGCAATAAAGGGAGGCATGGAGATATATATTGTAGCTGACGAGCGAGCTCATGGCGTTGATATCTTGAAGAACGAGTGGATATTGCACTATATCCAACTACTTCAACTCGACATACTTAGCGTATGCCCTGCATGCCATTATTCTTCCCGCGACTCCAACTACTCCAGTTTCTTTAAACAATCGCACTGCCGATACCATTACTTTCTGATATACAATATATTATTCATAAGCAGGGCTCTCCCAACCAATTATCACGGGTTAATTCTATTCCATATCAGCTGTCAGTGCTTTGTCGATTCTGGCCACACCTCTTTAGAGCATTACTTCGAGCTGAGAGACAATTGAAATATAAAGCCCTCTCTCGTGACGAAGCAAAATAAAATTCTGCAAAACGCTTATTTTTCCCACTTATTTTGTGGCGCAGAAACTCATGCATAGATCAAAAAATCAGTGGCTTTTCCTCCCGCTCCTAAATTATGACTGTTAAGTATCATAACATATATGCAAACATAGCAGTCCTCAAGAGGCTCTTCTCGAAACCGTTATTAATATCTGCATAATTATATATTTTCGCTAATCCGAAGCACCATTAACTTTCTTCTCTATCCAATGGCAAAAGTGATGTCAGCATTTATTTAAAAAAAAAAATAGATAGGACTGCATAGCTTAATGTGCATTTCACACATTTGCACACATGTCACAAAGATTGCCTACCCACATTAGTAACACTGTAATTTACAGCTCATGAGTGCGTCGAAGATTTACGTGTGACCACACATATGTATTCTCACTCACCCACACACAAGCATCCTGGCGCACTCACTTAGCAAAAGTAATGCATGAAACATGTCCTTGCTGATAAGACGATTTATTCAGCTACACGCTTCGATGATTTTAACATTTCAGTTTTGCTTCTGTTCCTGCTCTTTCTCCTTACCTGCATATGCACATACATACATCCGAGTAGTTCACCTTAGAGATTTGTAAATTGCAGCAATAATACTCTCTATGGCAGGCACATAAAAAGGCTTTGAGTGTAATAAAATCAATGGTAGTGAATAAATACTTAGATGTCATGAGAGCTAGAGAGTTAAGTTTAGTGGACGGAGGAGTGGAAGGGGCTGGGAAAGGATTGTTGCTAAAGGAGGGAAACTTTGGTGAACATCTTAGCTCGATAATGTATTGCATAAGTGAAGAAAATTTTAATGAATTAAATGAATTTCAAATTATTACTATTATAATTAAATTTTTTATTATTTTGGAGCAGCTGTTGAAACTAATTAAACGAATAAAAAAATAAATAAAGTAAAATAAAATAAAATAAAATAAAATGAAATAAAATAAAATAAAATAAAATAAAATAAAATAAAATAAAATAAAATAAAATAAAATAAAATAAAATAAAATAAAATAAAATAAAATAAAATAAAATAAAATAAAATAAAATAAAATAAAATAAAATAAAATAAAATAAAATAAAATAAAATAAAATAAAATAAAATAAAATAAAATAAAATAAAATAAAATAAAATAAAATAAAATAAAATAAAATAAAATAAAATAAAATAAAATAAAATAAAATAAAATAAAATAAAATAAAATAAAATAAAATAAAATAAAATAAAATAAAATAAAATAAAATAAAATAAAATAAAATAAAATAAAATAAAATAAAATAAAATAAAATAAAATAAAATAAAATAAAATAAAATAAAATAAAATAAAATAAAATAAAATAAAATAAAATAAAATAAAATAAAATAAAATAAAATAAAATAAAATAAAATAAAATAAAATAAAATAAAATAAAATAAAATAAAATAAAATAAAATAAAATAAAATAAAATAAAATAAAATAAAATAAAATAAAATAAAATAAAATAAAATAAAATAAAATAAAATAAAATAAAATAAAATAAAATAAAATAAAATAAAATAAAATAAAATAAATTAAAATAAAATAAAATAAAATAAAATAAAAATTAAATAATAATTAAATAAAAATAAAAATAAACTATATCATTACAACTACAATAAAATAAAACACTCGGAAACCACATAGCCTGATGCACTATTTAATAGAAGATATGTTTTAAGAATTTATGTCATTCCAAAATTTATATTAATTTATTTATTGTTATGGTTATAAATATTTTTTACTTTGAAATTATATTTTACCTATTAGCTGCTACTTTGCTTAAATTTATGTGAATTGAGCTCTTCAATTTTTGGCAACACTTTTAAAAATTTCCTCAACCAGAATCTAGTTCAAAACACTGGCACTCTGATTGGACAAAAAACTCTCATTAGTTTATCTGTAATCAATGCTAACTAGACCAACGCTACAAATAAGAGCTTCGATGCGTGTATGAATTTTCAAAAAGGCATAATTTAATGCAAGGACAAATATGAATTTACTAAAACAGATTTTTGTGTATCTTGTTAAATGTTGACTACAACATACAATTTATTAAGCATATACACGAGTATGCGCTATTTTTTTCTCCAAATAAATATGTATGTATTAATGGGTTAGAAGCTGAAGATATCTTGAAATGTGAATCATCTTTCATTCTTATAATATAATGTTCCAATGATTATAATTCATAATATAATAGGTGATATTGAGTATTTCATCGCGATTTTCAAGTCATTAGCAGCGCGGACAAAACTTCGGAAGACCTGCGTTCGAGTACTGGCCCGATCAACACTCAAAATAACAATAATAATAATAATTAAGTTTTCCAATAGGAGTCCAAGTGCATTTCTGACATAATATAAAAGCTTTTCAACCATCCGTCGGCGGCATACATACACCACACAGCACCATTTGAAGGAGAAGCTCGACCAAAAACCTCTTATAAAACACAAATTATCTACACACTCGTATATAAAGCTCCTCTGCTTGTTTTTTGCAAAGACTCGGTAAAGCAAAAAAGTTACCAATTGTTTTTAAGGTTTAAATAGAAAAAATTATTTTCAGAAAGTAGGGATTGACCTATTCGGAAAATATCTTTATCTATTTATTATTCTATTTACTTGAAATTCGGTAATTAAAATCGGTGCCTACTTTTCTCTCCCGAAATATTCGAAAGAAATGTTTTCATCGCTCGGTTTACTTGAAATTCGGTATTATTAGTTCTGTTTGCTTGAAAATACGGGAAGTGAAGTGAGGTGCAATTAACCACCAATATGGGTGTCAACCTGCAAAATGATCCATCGGCTGACGCATTTTAATGTCCGCTACTAGAAATGGTGAACGGCAAAATGCCAAATGATCGGATTTCAGAACGGATAAAATTACCCGAAAACTTTTGTATTTTAATGACTGGAAAGGAAGAATTGATTCACCGAGTATTCCCAAGTATTCAAATCAATTATAGGGGTCACGGGTGGGTGAAAGTGTGATGTATCATCGCTTCGTCAAAATAAAATGTCTACGATCTAAACATTGAAAGCAAATACATCACATTTGAGTATAAGCCAATGGGACACCGTTGTGGAAGCAGATGAGGTTGTCAATTATAAAAAAGATTGGTGGAGGTCCCAACGCACATATTGAATTTGAAAATCGGTGTGCTCATTATAATGCTACTAATATTAGTCAGATACAACTGGACACAAGACTTGAGGTCAAAAATTACATAGGAACTTAATTTAACCAACAATTCCGACCGATACTCCCTTTCCATTCAAGATATTACGGTATAGTTTTCGAATGGCGTTTGAAACCAATATGAAAAAAGCTCATGGCCTCTCTATGGAATTATATGATCTTCATTTAGATACGAATTGGATCGATCTAAGGTTGCCAAAACAGATAACCATTTTATGTAATGTTTCTTTTTTCATACATTCAACGAGTATGTGCCACAGCGAAGTGTTGCAAGGTATTTGAGCTCCGCCATTTTCAGACATATTCCAAGAAAATTGGCAAATATTGAAAACCACTTGCCGAGGGGCGACCTCAATTAGAAAAAAATAACTTAACTTTGTTTAAATTAATTAAAGGATGTTGACCGTACCAAGTCTTCAACTTTAACTAAAAGAAAACTACGCATGAAATTCTAGCGACATAATTCGCCTTAAAATCAGTTTGTGGATCAAATTCTCGTAAGTAGTCGTCCAGTTAGTTTGGTGCAAAATTTTGCTGATCCAGCTCAAAATGTGCTGAAACAACAATCAAATCGACACCATTCGTCGGAAATACAAAAATGTGTAAAAAAATGTGTAAATTTCCATAAAGACCTCGGTATGAAGATTTATAAAGTTCACTCGGTCCAAGAACTGAAACCTAATGAATATACGATGTGTTTTCGCTTCGCTCGATGAGCAGAGAATCGTTTGTTAGAAGATGAATATTTTTACTGCAAAAAACATATTTTCTGATGAGGCTCAAATAACTCACACGGAATCATGAATATACCAACAAGTGACTGTTTGGTTCGACAAGTGGATCGTCGGCATCAGTGGTCTAGTTCTCTACGCTATCTTCAATGGCGACCGTTATCCTACCAT